ACCTTCTGAACTTCTGTTTTTATAAACTAATTTATCTTTATTATGTTTGTTAATATCAGGCCAAAGAAACCAAGAAGTATATGAGTAGTTACTTCAGACTAGTTTCTTTATTCATATCAGCCTACAGGCAGAAATCTTCCCAGACTAAATAATTTATCTGTATAAACTATTTCATATACTCTGCAAACTACTTAAGGGGAGGAATACCTTTGCCCTTTTCCTGCCTATCAAAGGTTCCAAGCTATGTTGTGTCTTGCTCCCTGGGAATCATCCCCTCCCTCTTGTGATTCTGGATTATATACCGCCATAACTAAAAATTTCAATAAAATTATTTATAAAAATGATTTAGAATATTCAGATGACCTATTCAGATGCCCATATATCTGATGTCATGTAATTGCATTAATTATCGGAAATATTTAGTATAAGCTATTAATCCAAGCTATATTATCAATTACAAAATCAGACTGCTTATCCTGAAATAGTTTGTCTCTAAAGTCAAGAATTCTTATTTTATTAAAAACTGACCACAGAACTACAAAAATATTCTTAAATTTTGTGGCAGAATATTGACTTGTCTTTTGGGTTTCCTTTGAAGATCTACTACTGATATATTCAGAAGAATCTTTACCATTGATTTTGATTTTTTTTTTTTATGAACCCACATATAAACTTTTAGAATTTAGCTCGAGGAGGTATTTTTATTTATTATTGAACAATTGGATCTGGAATGCAAAAGTCCAGATGGCCACTAGATGGCAGTTAAGAACTGTCACATGATGCTTCATTGGATTTTTTTTTTCCCCTGGCCCAAATGTGATAGTAATTTCCTAGACAAGTAGAGCAATCTAGTAAAATATGTACACACAAAAGCTAATCTGTATTTTAAAAACTCAAAAACATTTAAATAGCCATTGAATGAGTCAGTATTAATTACTTTAGGATACTGTGTGTTTACTTATGTTAGCCCAGCAGCTGTTGTAGATTTTGTAACTAATTTTATACTGGACTGTATTATGTTACTTTATCTCAAATTGTCATGAGTAGATATTGAAGATGCAGGAAATCAGCAGAAAATGTACTGTTATTTTTTAAGTAAATAATTCACTTGCCTTTTTTTTTTAGCCGACACCCACAGTCAATATTCAGTTTTCAATCACTGACATAATAAAGTATTTTCCCTGTATTCAATACTTTAGGAGAATTCAGACACCAAATTCAAATTGCATAGAATGATATGCCTATAACTGACATTTAAATACTGTCCTTAATACATTATGTGTCCTTGTTTGATGTGAATCCTCACACAAAAAACATGGGAAGGGAGGTGTATATACCTAATTATCCAGAAGTTAATGTATGCAATACCAAACAATTGTTGGTTTGATTTTGTAGAAGTCATGTTTAGAGTTGTCAGCAAATTCACTTTTTGCCAACAAATACCTAAGAGCTCTGTCAAAAATCTCTCATCAAAAATACACGGATACATTTAGTAATTCCATACTAAAAGGACAAGTCATCTAAAAGGTAAGTAGACAGTAAGAATAGATGGTCAGTTCTCATACTGCTATGGAGGGGAAATCCCAAATACTTCAAATTCGCTTTTTCATTTGTTTATTTGAAGTGAGATGCAAATAATTTGACAGAAATGAAACATTTAGGATAACACAAAATAATTGGTGATTATGACGGGCTTTCCAGCATGAGAAAATATGAAGTGAAGAATAGGGTTGAAAAATCTACAATACCACATTAGGTATTGGTATCTACAATACCAAAAATCTCTACACCAATGAACTATTGGTGGCAGAGCAAAAAACAGAATTCAGGACTGTACAAAGCAGCAATATAAAAAAGGGTAATACACTGAACAAAAAAGAGAATAACACTGTCATAAACTTTGTGCAACTCTGTAATCAAATACGCAAGATGTTTAGGCTTTGGCTGCTATCAATTCTAGTTGGTGGCAATATGTACAGGAGCTGTTGTCTGAAAATGTAGAATTGTTGAGAAAATAATTACTTGCCAAATGAATAAACTACTTTGAACAGCTGAATTTAACTGAAGGTAAAATGAAAATTTAACTCTCACACCTCTTTTTCTCATTAAAGGTAATTATTGATAGTGAAACCAATAAAATGTATCTTTCAAAAAGGTTTACCTTTATAGTTATATTTTTAGAATTCAATATATGCTAAATATGTTCTAAAACTGTTTTCTGAATTATGAGTTGAGTTTCTTTTCACTTATTTAAATTCAAAACTGAAGATGCTGTATAAAATATATTTTTCCCAGATGTACCAGGTTTCTCACTACTATATTAACTTTCTGGAAACCTCTCAATAAAATTTTAATTCACCCATATCCTATAGCATGATAATCTACTATAACAACTTTTTGTTCTTGTAGAATATTGTTACCACATTATAACCAACTTATGACATTACTATTACAGACATCTGTTTATACAAACAATTATCAGAAGCCACCCTCCAGATCTGCTCTCTTCTCTTGAAAATATAACAAATATAGCTTTAATGGAAAGTTTTCATGCAGATTTCCCTTTTCATTAAAAAAAAGTCCTGTTAGAAATTTCAGCAAAGCACAGTGCAAATTAATATTCATGTAACTTTGACGGAAAATAGAATTCTGCTTATGCAATGAAAGGTTAATGTTATCCTACTTTTTATTTCTCTAAATCCTCTATTTGTATTTCAAGAAGAAAATAAGAAAATGTCTACTTTAGAATCAGAGACTGAATTAGCGAACTTCCTCAAACTTCCATATTCATGTGTGGTATGAGCAAATATGTGCACATATACATGCATCTCTGCTCAAGGAAGATCATCCATTGTATTTTATGTATAGCATTGTCAGATTGGTTGCAAAACCACTAGTTGGCTACCAGTTTAGCCTACAGCAGTGTTTCTTAACCTTGGCCTTTTTATGAAGTGTGGACTTAAGTTCCAGAATTCTCCAGCCAGCCATGTTGGATGAGGAATTCTGGGAGTTGAGGTCCACATCTCTTGAAAAGACCAAGGTTGAGAAACAGTGGTCTAGAGTTTGTGAAGTCATAACTATATTTGTTGTGAAAGTTGCCATTTTCCTCAAGGAAGTTTTATGTTCCAAACAGCACTTTTGTATGAAAGTTAATCATGCCCAAGCATTTTCTATAAAAGCATTCAATGAATTTATCTGTACTCATATTTACAGCAGGACACTGGAACCAGCTTTCCAGGAAAAAGAAGACTGTGAATTAACCAGATTTTAGAATCATCATGCAAATGCCAAATATAGCTTCTGCTGAAACATGTGGCAGCTAATATATGTGGACATACGCATTACGCAATAAAGCAAATTCTCATTATATTAAAGTCAGACAATACTACTAAGGGGGGAAAGCACATGATTTGTGCTCTATTAACTATTGCTTTAAGCAGCTTTTTTTTCCTTTAATGAAACGTTAATTCTTGTGCTGAATAAAAAAGGAAGCAAATTTCAAAAGTTCATAAGAACTAGCCCGCCATAATCTTTAGAACCAATCTTCGCTACCACTCTGAACAAAACCCTGCATATTTGGTCTATGTGCACATGCACGCACGCACGCACGCACACACACACAGCTGCAGTATTACTTCCCCTAACCAGGTGAATATAATTCTCATACAATTACAATGAGACACTTTCTATCCCATAGGCATTGTCTCGTTTCTAACATCTTAGATCACAAGTGTTTCATCATTATCAAAATCATGCTATCTTCAACAGTATTTTTCTTCTGTCAAACTACATTTTACATTTTTTTCCACCCTGGTCTGACTAGCATAATACTGCATAGTTAAATGAACTGTTATTCCCAGCTGAGAAACAGGACACTGCAGTAGTCCAAGGCAGCACATTGCCATCACCTTCTCTACCATAGCTACCCTACCATATTTTATCCCAGACATTGCTTACTGCTCTGCTTTCAACTACATGATCCACTGAATGCACTGGGGATTAGAATGAAAAAAGTTTCCCAATTCCTCTGCACTGTTTTATTGACGGCCTTTTAAACAATACTATGGAAAATACATGTGGAGGGTACTAAAACCATTAAACAAATAGAGATTCAATTATGTTGCTGTCTATCAGCTATCACAGCAAATATGCATACAGTGACATGTGCTCTGGTTTGTACCCCAGTGTTCTCTGGGTGAAGATGACACCAGGAAATTGCATAAAAATAGTTATTTGTCCAACCAAGCTAATGTCTATCTAGCATTATGAAGAGTCATCTTTGGGTGCTTATAGGCAAACACTAAAGGAAATATTCTAGCAGCTGATATTTAGCCCTTGCTTGAAGCAGAATTACTTACCTTACAAAAATACTGACAGTATCATAGGCACTGAAGGCTTTGCAAAGATGCAGCCACACATAAGAACAGAAAAACAATGGGAAGCTGCACACCCACAGCTGTTGACATCCCAAAGGAAACATGGCACTGCATTAGTGGATCCAAGAGGTTATCTATCCTTCCTGCAGGAGAGCATCTCTTTCCCGGAATGAAATTTTGTATCCTCTTTCAACCAACTACACCGATCCAGTTATAGAGCACCGCTACTTCTGAATTCCTGCAGCTTAATCTAAATCCGAGGTGTGAAAGAGCAAGATGGCCCTGCAAGATTGGGGGGGTGGAGGGAGTTGCAGTCACAGGGCAGCAGCAATTGATTAGAAGATGAGAGCTACATCAACCCCTATCACACCTTTCTTATGCCAGAAGGGAAACTGAGGCAGGCGACAACACACCTGCAAAATCGAAGGGAATCCTTCTCCCTACCTGCCGATCTCCACAGGCGCGGTACTATAGTTCCCATCGTGCTTAGCCGCCACCTAGCAGGGGCTGATGGACTGCCTGCAGCCCATTGCGCCAGGAGGGCGCTGGGCTGGAGGGGAAACTGCAACCAGGCGAGCCTTTCCCGCCCCCCGGAGTCGTCTGCGCGGCAGCGGCGTCTCTTACCGAATGGTTCACTCCCCACATGAGGACGCTGAGCAGCGGATCGCTGGCCCGGAAGAGCTTGACTTTCTGGGCCACGAAGTGCTTCTTCTTGGTCTTGGTCTTACTCGCCATAACGGACACGATATTACCCGGGGCCGCCATGGGAGCCGCCGAGGAGCAACCCAGGAGGAAGAGGAGAAAGAGGACGGCGAGGGTCAGTGCCCCGGAGCCGCCAACGGGCAGGGGAGGGAAAGGAAGAGACGGCGGGAAAGGAGGGGCCAGTAAAACCAGGCAGCCCTGCTGGATGGCTGGTTCTCGGGCAGCACGTCGGGCGCTAGCGCGGCTGCGGCAGGAGCGAAGCGGCGGGTTAGTCCCTGGCACGGCTTCTGCTACTGCTGCAGCTGCTGCCCCCGCAGGGCGATACCAAGAGCATCCTAGCCCGGACGCTCCCGCCGCTCGCTGGAAGGGCCTGCGTTCTCTCTCCTCCCCTCGCAGGCCCCGCCTTCCAAGCCTCTGGCGGGGAGGGAGGGAGGGAGGGGCGGCGCCGTTCGTACCGCCCCCTCCCTCTCCCGGCCTTCTCTGTATCTGAGCGCCCCGCCTCCCTCCCCCAAGAAGACGCATCGCTCTCAGCGCGGAGTTGTAAGGCTAGAGCCAGCCGACACGCGCGTCTCCTCCAAGAGAGCATGCGCGGCGGTTCAGGGCGTGCGCGGCAGGAAAAGTGAAGTCTTCGCTGCATTCTCTTTGCCCGACGTTGTGTCTCGCTTTCTCTTCCCTCTTTGGGGGTAGGGGATGCAGGGTAGCAGATGAGAGACGACTTTCATCATCACAGCCAACAGTGAAGGGATTTGTCTTTTTTTTTTTTTTTTGGGGTGGCCAGATAGTCAAGTAAACAATGGGTTAAGGCTGCAATCCTAAATCCAATTCTTAGGAAGAAATATTATAAAAAATATAGGCTTCAGATAATACTGCTAACCTATAATAGTTTGAAATTAGGGTACAGTGTGAAGCCAACAATTATGGTTCATGCAGTAATCTATAATTTATAATAGAGTTTCTCAGCCTTGACAACTTGAAAGTGTGGAGACTTCCAACTCCCACAATTTTCCATCTAGCAGGCTACCCCCAGTAATATTGATGTACAGCTTTGCAGTGCATTGCAAAAACTCAAGTCAGCTGGGATTAGTTCAATATACCATACTTAATCCAGACTTTAGCACAATTTCCAAGCATAGCCCAAATAAATTCATACAGTGTATCATGACTGGTCCCCCTCAAAATCTCACTGCATTTTTTTCCGTGATGAGGAAGCGAACAAATGTCTGGACAAATTGCAGTCCTTAAAATTTGTGGAACAATTTACCTGGTAGCATCATGGACACAGATGTGGGAACAGAAGCAGAAGAATTCATAAGAGCAATGTCTTCCAACAATGTTGTCTCAGAAAGTTCTTCTTATCTCATATCAGGCCCAAGTCACAAATGAGGAAATTCTACAAAGAAGCAATTCCTGAAGACACTCTTGAGATAGTGACAGAAAGCAGAACACGCTTTGCTGGACATGTGCTCCACATGAGTGAACAATGTCCAGCAAAGACTGCAATCAATTGGATACCACCAGATGGTTGGAGAAAAAGAGGAAAGCTAAAGAAAATCTGGTGCCAAACCTTTCAGGAAGATCTGAAAAACATCAACCTTAAGTAGACGGATGAGATGGTAGTTGTACTCTGAAAATTGTGGAATATGCTTGTAGTCCAATGTGCTTGGATGCGATCATGATAATCATAATTGGCATATAAATAAATGTGGATAGATTGCACCATTGTTATCTGATTCAACAAATGTTACAAAAAATCAGTGTCAGCACTTCTTAAAAACTATCAATGAAAACTGTTCAGCCATGGTGGTAGTCATAACCATAGTTTGCAAGTCACATTAATGAAGTTTGTTTGACATTGAGTTAAAACCAATGAAACAACATTTGAACTACAATATATGTGGATTGCAGTTGGACACTGAGCTTGTCAGCTAGAAAGTTGGCAGCTGGGGTTCTAGTTGAGTGTTGCACAATGGGTGAGTTCCCTTTATTTGCCCCAGGTTTTACCCACTTAACAGTTTGAAAGCATGTACATATATACATGAACTATGTATTGGTTCCAGAAAGCACCATGCTGCTCAAATAATAAATGTGGCGTTGATTTAACTGCATTAACAATTGTCACTGCAGGCTATTGGTGTCTCCCATTTTAGCACAATACTGCATTACTAAATCATTTTTATTGAATTACTTTGCTTAATCCAGAACAGTGCTATTTCAGCTGTTCTGAATGGTTCTTGATATTATTATGTCTTGTTACAGCGTAGGTGCTTTTTACTAGCACTGTATTCAAGTCTGATCCAAATTAAACTAGTGGTGCTGTTATTAAGAACCTGCCGGTCACACATACACCAATATCCAATTTGACATTATTTTTAGGTAATTCTATGGAGGATCTTCTTCCATTTCTCACTTCAGAGTGTCTTAGTGTTATTATGCTGTGACCTCATCAATCTTGACAATTTCTAAAATTAATACTTTTAACTATGGATGTATAGATAGTAATCAACTTACAATCACAATTGGGACTGGAATTTCCATTGCTAAGCAAAGCAGTTGTTAAGTGAGTCATGCCTGACTTTATAATCTTTTTTGCCACAGTTGTTAAGTGAATCGTGGTCATTAAGTGAATTTGGGTTCCCCCATTGCCTTTACTTATTTGGAGCCAGCTGGGAAGCTCACAAATGCTGATCATGTGATCCAGGGATGCTGCAACTATCATAAGTACATGCTGTTGGTTAGTGCCTGAATTTTGATCACATATGTATGAGGATCTATTGTAAGTCATACTATTTTCGGTGTCTTTGTAACTTTGAATGGTTGCCAAGTATAAGTCAAGCATTACTGCATGCACATGAAACTGAATTGCAGATAATTATTTTAAATAGGCATGGTTATATTTGGTTTGTCTTAGTTGCTAGTAAGTGTTTACTGATTTTATTGGATGGATGAGTTTATCTAGCTTGGACTTCTATCTTGTCAAAATTAAAAAAATAAATACGGTAGCCATTATTATTATTATAAACTTTTATTAATTAAACATGAAACTCAGTCAACTGAACATTTAAAAACGTATCACAAATATTATTGACTGGCGCTGATAGTTGATATGAGTTGCTGCCAGCATTCTAGATATTTATTATTATTATTATTATTATTATTATTATTATTATTATTATTATCTTTTATTCATTAAATATAAAACTCAGTCAGCGGAAAATTTAAAAATGTGTCACAAATACCATTGACTGGTGCTAATGATTGATATGGGTTACTGCAGCATCCTAATTATCAACCAAGTATCTTCTTAAAATATATGATGTTCCGAGTAGTGCAGTTTTTTGCAATTCCCCTGGCGTTATTGCAGGAAGCTGCAGTTTCTTGATGTGTTTTGTAAAATTCTTGGACATGGTACCAAGTGCCCCGATGACAATGGGTATCACTGTTACATGTTTCATCCATGGCCAGGTCGTGATATTTCATGATTTTTTCCAGTTCTTTTTCTTTGACTCTGGCGTCTCGTGGTTCAGCGATATCAACAAACTGTACACTTCGGCCCTTGATAACCGTGATATCTGACATGTTGTGTTCCAAATGATGATCCGTCTGTATTCGAAGGTCCCACAAGATCTTCATTGTCTCATTTTCAGTAACTTTTTCCACTTAGTGCTCCCATGACTTTTCGGATACAGGTATGTCGTATTTTTTACATAATGACATTGGACTAATTTAGCAATTCAATCATGTCTATTTGCTATATTATTATTATTGTTGTTGTTGTTATTATCATCATTATTATCATTATCGTAATATTTTTATTTTACCATTGATTTCAGCTGCCTGGAAAGAATTGTGATCTTAAGGAGTTCTTTTAATACAGTACTTTCTACACTTATGAAGTCCAGGCTTTAATTACTAATATTCCTTTTTAATGAATTCCTCAGAAGCTAAACTTAACAGTTTCTTCATTTTATTTCCCCACTCCCCAAAAGTTGGTTGGGCACTATTATGAATCCTTTTTGACAAATAAGGCACCATTTCTGTAAGATAAAATGTCCACTATATCCCTAGGCCCACTCTGATGCCTGTAAAGTGGAGAATATATTGTACCATTATGGAAATGGCTTGGGATTATTTGTATTCATATATGGAGCTAAATCATAGTTATTTTAGGCTATGTAGAATATAGGGCTAATGGGGTAATAGGCTAATGCAAACCATGGTTCACCATGCTGGTTGAGACAACATTTTATTCACCACTTTAAGTTATTTGTAAAAATAATAAGGGCAGGATACAAATAAGTAAACAAACAAGCAAGCAAATCTATGAACTAAGTCAAAATAAGGTACTGAATTCATACCTTTAATCTTCTGTCAATTATAAAATTTGCCTTTTGCAGATTACCTTAGAAGGATAGCCCACTCTGTACAGTTAACATTGGATTAAAATAACCCCTAAAGTTAAATTCGAATATATTATTAGCCCTTATAACCTTGTAATGGTTTCTAGAACTAAGAAGGACCATATGTGTGTGTGTGTGTGTGTGTGTGTGTGTGTGTGCGCGCGCGCTAAATACTGCTGCTGCTATTTGCTTCTGCATGTATTTTTTTTTTTTTTTGTGGTTTCCTCCATTCCATGCCTTCCTAGATTTGCAGATGAAGTTGCTGCCAACTTCCTCTGCAAGCCAGTAACAGGGCAGCGCTCAACATTTGCAAACTGCAGAGGAAGTACTGTACATTTTTGCTGTGGAAGAAACTGTGAGTCAATGCAATTAGCAGCTCTTTGATGTTATTTGTCCTGTACAGTTACCTGCTGCCTTTGACAGGAGGGTAATTTTTATTTTATTTATTTATTTATTTATTTATTTATTTATTTATTTATTTATTTATTAAATTTGTATACCGCCCAAATCCCGAAGGACTCAGGGCGGTGAACAGCCAAAAGATGAAATACATATAATACAAATGTTAAAAAATCATTAAAATACAATTAAATAATTTTGCCCAGAAAACAAAATTTAAAACACCCCAAATTTATAAGACAAATATAAAATTTAAAAAATTTAAAACAGTTTAAAAGAGAGGTTAGGCCAGGCCAGCCTGCTGGAATAGGAATGTTTTGAGGGCACGGCGGAAAGTGCGCAGATCTGGGATCCTCTGTATCTCCGGGGGGAGCTCGTTCCAGATGGCGGGTGCCCCCACAGAGAAGGCTCTCCCCCGGGGGCCGCCAGTCGACACTGTTTGACCAACGGCACCCTAAGAAGCCCCTCTCTATGGGAGCGTACTGGTTAGTGAGAGGCTACTGGTGGCAGAAGGCGGTCTCGTAAATACGCCGGTCCTAAGCCATGGAGCGCTCTAAAGGTAGTAACCAAAACCTTGAAGCGCACCCGGAAGACCACCGGG